AATTTCAGGTTACATTAGAACTGGAAAATAAAACGGATATTTTAAAAGGTATGTTGTTAAAAAAAGAACAATTTAATCTTTTAAAGTAAATTGTAAGCAAAAGTTGTAAGAATTAAAAAATAATGTACCTATAGATTTCAAGATACATATGTCTAAAATTGAGATTACAATTTCAAATTTTGAGAAAACTTAAAAATATAACAGAATAGTAGGTTCTCTTCATCATTACACTGTATTATTTTTAGTTTAATGAAATCTTTATTATCAACCGAGCCATATATGTTTGAGAATTCTACAATCAATACAACAACAGAACTTAAAAACTCATTTAAAGGATAGATAATTAAATTGTAATAGGCACAAAATTAAGTAATATTAGTTTACAATTATAATTATAAATAAATACATAGTTGATACAATTATAACGAAGAATACAAAAAGTAGACACTCAAATGTGTAAACTTCCAGGAAATTCCAATAAGGTTTATATAAAAAATTGTTCAATCAAATCAAAAATTGATCACGATTATTAAAATTAAAAGAAAAAAAAAAAATACATTAATTATATCAACGCATATATTTAATTAATTTAAAAGCATTTCATTGTTTCGTTTTATTTTAATGTTCAAATCGTAGCTAGACTTTTGTACATGTCGCTCATTTATTACAAGACTGGCATAAACATAAAAAGTCGTTTCGAGATAAATGGCTTTGAATGTTTAATGACATTTTACTTTTTTTTAAATAACTTAAATAAATAAAGGGATATGAAAAATAGGCCAGATTTAGATAGTAGAGGTTAATATGTTTCTAGTCTACATTGAAATTTAACTTTTATTTATCTAATATTCGTGAAACATGAGTTTTATATCACATCGAAAATAAAACACATTTGATAAATTTACATGAGAGACTTTAGTATGATGCATGTTTAAAAAACCTGAATTTTGGATTATGCCAGTCTTGTAGTAATTGAGCGATATGTTGTTAATTTAGTAATTCTAAGGTGAATAAAATTATGTTCAAAATAAATAAATTACACAAAAATTTTAAAATTCTTACAAATTTTTAATGATGTTATTCTAAGTAGGAATCTCATTGGCCATTCCAACATGAAAATAATTTTATTACTGATTTATTTGACTTCTTAAACATTAGAAAACACGTTAAAAATATACTAAGTTATTGTCTTTATTTTTCTTTGCAGTTAAAAACTTGGATCAAATTTTCATACGTATACCATCCATTAAGGTGAGTTTTTAAATCAAATATATTTAAATATATTAAGATGTCAAGTGTTTAATTGATGATATATTATAGTAGGAATCTCATTGACCATTCTTACGTGAAAATAACTTTATTTTCTGATGTCTTTTACTATTTTCTAATTAATTTTTTTTTTAACAATATTCTGATATTTTATTTATCTCTTTTACAGTTCCAAAATCTTAATATATATTCCTGCATTAAACTAAAGGTGATTATTACATTTTAGTTTTTAATAACAACATTGAAAATATCCAGTCATATACCGTCACCTGAAATGCAAAGGTCGTTATAACGTAAGAATTTAAAATTGAGTTTTTTATTGACTAAAATTTAACACCAGTAAGTTTTAGACACTAATAAACAAAATACGACCCATCTAAGCAAAATCAATATTTGCATTAAACAAGGTCTTGACTGAACACTTACATGTTTATTGTTTGAGCTACTGCCCAGCAAAAAAAATTGATGCCATACTTTACAAACGACATCTTAACCACATCCCAAAAATGTGTGCTTATTTTTAATTTTTTTTTAAGTCTGCGTGTTACCTGTAACATATCAAGAAACACACCAATAACGTACTTGAAGTACATTCAACATTGGTGAAAAACCAATGAAATTTATATAAGCATGTCATTGAAAGAATGTGGTATTTTTTGCTGGGTAATTAAAGTTAATTTTTTAATAAAATGAAATGTATTATTGGGGATATGCTAGTTCCTATACGCATTTCGCCGGTTGCTTAAGCCAGCTCATCAGGAAACCTTTCTTAACTTTTTAGAAAAACTAGAAATGTTTATAGTATATTCTTTTTATAAACTCAATAATGCATTTATATTTTATTCTTTTCTTACATTCTATTTGTAAAGTAAAGCATGGATATTTCATGTACATAATGTGTATTATATATATGTATGTATATCGCCATCAAAAATACGAACAATTCTATTATTACGTATAAGACATTTCCTTATTTTTTTAAATTTATTTTGTTAATATTCAGGATTGTAGAATCTGATTGACATCAGCATTTGTATTTTATTTGTTTTGTTTTATGTGGTTAAGTGGAATTGGCGCGAATGTAAGTTAAATTAAATTTTATAAAATAAAAGACAAAGATGTTCTTATTTTTCGTTTCACTATTTGTATCCATCCTCCATCATTAAAAATAAAATAAAACTACCAAACTACTAACAAAACAGAACTTCTGATTCGAATATGGGTTTTATAATAAAACTTTTATTAATTTTCGAATTAAAGGAAAACAATCGATTTAATGACACCAATTCAAATTAGAATCGATTTTTAATTTGATAAATTACAATTCTGACTTGGATTCTACAATAACCTGATTATCTATATTTCTGAAATGATTTTATTTTCGTATTTTAGTTGGCAATATGTTTTATGATGATATATTTTAGTAGGAATCTCATTGACCATTTTAAATATGAAAAGAACTAATTTTACTGATAACTGAAAATTCATTTCATAATTATATGTACATATATATTTTAGATTTTAACGAATTTTGCTTTCTTTTGTTTCAGGTTCACAGGTCGAAATTAATTAAAAGAATTATATGTATGTATATATGTATTTTTGATTTTTTTTTCCTATTGATGAAATCATATATTTGGAAGATTCTCTTAATCTCACTTCTAATACAACGACAGGATTATTTTGAAAAAAATTAATTTCTCTGGATGTTGAATAATTGACATTCATCGAGGACATGACAAATTCTTAAACATACATACAATGGTGATTGCAAAGGATCAAAATAAAAATTTAAAAATAAAATAATTTATTCTATTTATTAAACAATAATTTTCTTATTTTCTAACCTTCATAAGTTTGACTCTATGTTTTGGCTATGATGTAAATAAAATGACTATAAGCAATAAAGTATTTATTTAAACTTAAAGCTTAGAATAAATTTTAAGTATATGAAATGTAGTAACCCTGCAGGAAATGGAACTAGTATCAAACTTGTATTCTACTAGTACCAAAATCACCAATACTAGTTCCCAACTGTAAACTTTCCTATACCATCATAATGCTCAAATTAACATTGAGTGTGTTTAAAAAAATTACTAGTACCATTAGTTCTAGACTTATACTAGTACACTTGGACCCAATTGGGTTCTTTAGCCCGTGTCTATATTAGACAAATATTTATCACGGCAATTGACAAAACATCGGCAGAAAAATTGTCAGTTTTTTGTTTATGTTAATGAATAGGGTAACAAAATGCTGATTTTATCACGACAGCTCACAGATAATTTTATTGAAATAATGCTATATTTTATAAAAACAATCAAAATTAAATGCAAATTTTGTAAATAAACACTAATTTCACGAAAACTTATGTTAAAAATTAAAAAAAAAAAAAAAAAAACACTCATAACGACGTTATAAACGCTAATAAATGCCGTCTGTACCTGCTAATTTTTTATCATGATAACAATTTGACGTTTAGCATAATAAATATTTGTCTAATATAGACATGGGGTTAGAACCAGTTTGATACTAGTTCTAATATTCATAAAAAGTCGCTTTGCTCTTTTGCAATCCTACTGCACAATTCCAAGTGAAAATTACTACACTGAAAATAATCCATGCTTAACTTTACGAAAAAAACTTTCGTAACAACTTTTTTCGTAATATATACGAAAATTTTGTGTATATACGAAATATTGTTTAATCAACCCCTTTTCTAATTTACGAAAGTACGAAACACCTGTCGCAATATCTTTTTTCGTATATATTAAGAAACTTTGTTTTCTTTTACAAAAATAATTTCGTTAAGGCATGTAATATTTAACGAAAGTAACGATTTTTTTCGTAACAAGATTATTTAGTAATATACAAGAATTATTTTTGATTTCACAAAAAAAATTATATTGTTACGATATTTTTTTTTTTGTTATTTTCGTAATTTTAAGGGAGTTAAATTAAAAGTAATTTTTAATTTACAGGAAATTAGCTGTCTAATTTCCTGTAAAATTTTTTATGTTTTTTAAAAAACATAAAAATTAGATTTTTTTCAATTCGCAATCTTTTCCTAAATTTACAATAATTATTTTAAAAGAACTAAAATATTTTATGTCTTAAAAAAATCGTAAAATTAACAAATTTTTTTTCTAAAATTATATAAAATTATTTTGCATTTTATTAAAATATTTCGTACAATTTCGTATATATTACGAAAGAATTTCGTGGTGCGAAACCACGAAGCATTTCGTACAATGTACAACTTTTTCGTGTATATTAGGCATGGATTATTTTCAGTGTACACAACTAGTTTTTTTATACTGTTTTATTTCTAAAGATAGCAACAAAAAAATATATTAAAAAATGTTTTAAATACATTTACCTAACAATTCAATATGAAAGTTTGAAGAAATTCTGGTTCTATCCGTATCGCCGCGTTGGTATCATTGATTTTATTTTGTCCAAAAATTCCATTCAGGCACATATCTCCATTTCGTTATAAAAACATTTGCCGTACGATAAAACAATATTAAATTAGTGCAGTATTATAATATAATAGACGTACTTACATAGAGATTTGCCTGCAACCGGACCTAAATTTACATGCACTATTTATCATAATAGAAAAATAGAAGGTAGTGTCAATCTCTCTTTATTTTTAAAATTCTACATCTGACATGCTTAAGGATTATGAAGTTTTCATAGAAATCGTTTTATTTATTTATTTATTTTATTCATTTATTTTGTAATATTAAGCCTTCACGGCCAAAATATCAATATTACATAGTAATAATAAAAACCTGAGATCAATAAATATAATTCAGTACTAATCATCTGTTGGCTCCCCACCCGTAAAAAATATATTATTAATTAATTGAAAATTAAATGCAAATAAAAAGTCCCAATCAGCAACAAAATATATATACATCATTATATAATACACTAAGTGGCATCCCGACACAGTTGCCAACCACCATCAATAATTATAATGTCAAGCATTTTGACACTTATATGTTCATATACATTTTATTATTTCCTTCAAACATCCCTGTATCCGGTTGCGAATACAAAATAAAATGTGATATATGTATATATATATATATATATATATATATATATATACACCAGTCTACATCCAGTAAATTACTATAAAAATCGGATCTTAGAACTTTAAAAAAAGAATAACATTATTAAGTGATCTATATCATTTTGTATTGAAATTAAAAAGTTTTAAACATTCTCCTGAAAAAACACTTCTACAATTTGCCATATTACCATAAATTTCTAGGAACTTAGAAAAAATCAAAAATATTTTATTAAATTTTTTTAATTTGTTTTTTCGAAAGATTGCATAAATAGCTATCTAAACTATTTGGGACACATTTTGCTAAGAACATGGATGAGAAAAAACACCTGCATGGCCATATATATATATATATATATATGTATATATATATATATATATATATATATATATATATATATACATATATATATTATATATTTTATTAATTTTTTTAATTTGTTTTTCGAAAGATTGCATAAATAGCTATCTAAACTATTTGGGACACATTTTGCTAAGAACATGGATGAGAAAAAACACCTGCATGGCCATATATATAGATATATATATATATGTATATATATATTATTATATATATATATATACATATATATATATATATATATATATATATATCTATATATATCCTCTATATATATATATCTCTATCTATATCATATATATATCTATATATCTATCTCTCTATCTCTATCTCTCTCTATCTCTCTATATCTCTACTCTCTGTCTCTATCTATATCTCTATATGTCGTGTCGAATCCAAATTCTGTGGCAAAAAGAATTGAATTGAATTGAATTGAATTGTATAATCTTCCTTTATTTACATCTTTACTTACTAAATATTTACAAATGAGATCTTATCTTTATATAGATATTACAACAAATAATGAAGTGACTAGTGATATTTACAATATTTTTTTTTTACATTATAATCTTTTCTAAGGTAAAATGGGAGAAACCTTTATATGATTTTAAATGAATTCAAATATGAAGAAAAATTATATAGGTTTAAAGTTGTGCTATTAGTTGTAATAGCACCGTATAAACATATCATTTTCGATTTGGTGATTTGCATTTAACTTTGTATAATTTCTACACATTCTCTTATCATGGGATAAGAAGAACTTTCAATTTTTTCATAAAACTTGTTTTTAATTCTTTTTATATAATCAGTAATTCTTTCGTAACCAGTTTCTTCATGGATAAGGTATGTTGGGTATCTCCAGTGTTTGTTATATATCATTTTGAGACATTTGTTTTGAATAACTTGCAAACGATTTAAGTGACAGTTAGCTGCAGTACTCCATACAGGACATGCATATGTTAATATGGGTCTTATAACACTTTTAAATAGAAGATTCTTATTTTTCATGTTCAGACATGAACGTTTATTTAGCAATGGCCATAGGGCTCTAAAAGCTTTAATTGCTTTTTTGCAGATTTCGTTGATATGCCGTTTGAATATAAGTTTTTTGTCCAACGTAACCCCCAAATATTTTACATCGTTTTGTATATTTATAACATTATTTCCTATTAACAAGGGACGCCGGGCCAATCTTTTAGGGGATTTGTTGAATGGGAAAATTATAGCCTGAGTCTTAATTGGATTTATTTTGATTTTCCATTTGTGAAAATATTTGTTGCAACTTACAAGTCCTTTTTCCATTTTCTTTAAGAGAGCACCGGTACTCTTGCTTGAAGTAATTAAAGCGGTATCATCTGCGTAATATGCAGTTTGCATGTACTTCGGAACTTTAAAGTCGGATGTATATATTGAATACAGGAGTGGTGACAAAACAGATCCTTGTGGCAGCCCAGTGGAAATATGTTTGTCAGATGAGGTCGTATTTTTAATTGCAACTTTGAAAATTCTATCATCCATAAAATCAGCAATAAGTTTACTAAGATATTTCGGGATATTAGCAAGTAAAAGTTTATATAAAAGGCCGTTATGCCAAACAGTATCAAACGCCTTTTCTATATCTAGCAGGATAAGGCCCGTTGATATTTTGTTGTTCTTATTAGCAATTATTTTATTTTTTATCCTTTTTATTTGGTGAGTAGTGCTATGATCTTTTTGAACCCAAATTGTTCTTTAGCAACAATGGAATTTGAATATACAAATTCAATTAGGCGATGATGCAAAATTTTTTCCAATATTTTACCTAGATTGCTTAGCAAGCTAATAGGTCTGTAGCTGTTAGGGCTGTTTTTAGGCTTATTTGGTTTATTTATAGCTATAACCTTAGCGTTTTTAAAATTTTTTGGAAAATAATTAAGTTTAATGCAACTGTTAAAGAGAATGACTAACAATTTCAACGCTTTAATTGGCAGGTTCTTTAAAAGTATATTAGTGATATTGTCAAACCCAGGTGATTTGGAGGCTTTTAAAGATGACACAACACTTGTTATTTCTCCAAGATTTGTAAAAATGGCGGAATCAGAAGATGGGTTCTCCTTCCTAAAATCATTAACTCTTGCGTTAATGAATTTATCCATTGAATGTTTGTAGCTTGAGGTAAGATTATTTGCTTGGACAAATGTATTTGCTAAAATTTCAGCTTTCTCCTTATCATCTGTTATTTTGGTATTTCCATAGTTGATATATGGAATTTGGTGTTTATCTTTTTCTCGCAGACTTCTGCTAATTCTCCAAAAAGTTGTATCTCCTGGTTTTAAATTAGATAGTAATTGACACCATTTATTATTGCGTTC